TGACTCGGATGCAGTGGGCTCAGCCTTGATGGTCGTGGGTGTCTTGTCTACTGTTGGGGAAGCTCATCTGTGGGCCTCAGCGAGGTTTTAGCCAGGAAATGACAACAGTGGAGTCTGATTTTCAATCTTGAAGCCATTTAAATTTCCCATTTTTCAGTCACTTGGATGTAGCTAGATGATCCCACAGACAGATTTAGAGTGTTCAAAACTCCAGATTTGTTTCAGCTTTTTGTTTTGTCTCAGCAGGAACGTGCCCCTATATCTTGTGCCTTTCATTCCAGACTTTTTTCTGGGGCGGGGAAGGGGGGTGGGATCCATTTAAAAGCCTGCCTTCTCTTTTTTTGTTTTACTGCAATAGCAGTGCTCATGCATTAGTATGTGAAGAGTTTCATTTGAATTCTGTTTGGAGTTAAGTGGTTCTAGAGCAGTTTATTGAGGGACACTGCTATGAGTTGAGGCTCTAAAGGGGTTCTTACTGCCCTGCCCACCTTGCTTTGTGAAATTAGTTAGCAGGCAGCTTTCCAGGCTTGCACTGGAGTTCCTGGAAGTCACAGTGAGATTTTTTAAATATGTTTTTGTAAGCCCTCATGGTGACCAAAAATGGGAAATACGATAGCATATATAGTCTAAAAAGGTATTCAAGGGAGTGCCAAGGTGCCCACACATTTCTGTAGTTCCTGTGTTGCTTTGTAAAGGGTTGTGGTGTCCTTGGCCAAGTGGTGGGACATCAAGCAACCCTCCTAGCATTTGCTGAGGTGAGCATGCTGCATGTTCAGATGTTGTGGAGACATAAATAGTTTGAGAAGTGAGATTTATGATAGATGATTTTATGGGTTTTTTATAAAGCCTTGTTTTTGTGTTTTCTAGTCATCTAGTTTGTAGAGTATGAATCTTCAAACTCCCTGATAGTCAATAAAATTTTGTGCTATTAAAAAGTGTGACACAGGATTTTTAAAAAACTCCCATTTTTAGACTTTTCAGTCCCCCCCCCCCCCTTTTTCCCTCAGAAAATGGTTGGAATCTTGTGCAGTGCTTGTGAAAACAGCATTAAGACTTTAACCACCTCAGTGTATTGAGCTGGCCAAAAAGTTCATTGAGATTTTTTTCTGCAAGCTGTTATGGACAACCCAAAGAGATGTTTTTTGGCCTGCCGAATTTTCAGGTAAATACTATTTGGGACACACTGAGAAGCAGTTCCTGTGAGAGGGGCTTAGTAGGTGGCACCCAGAGTGAAAGCGCGTTCTCTGAGATGGTGACCCTCCAGCCACCTCACTGAGGTCGCTCAGCACCTATTTCCACCTTGTATTTAAGTGGATTTAAGTAGATGATCGACTCACAACAGTGCACATTAAACTTTTTTGATGTTTTGGGGTTGTAAGAGTTGGACACAACTGAGCAACTAAATGACGTCTCCTAAGTACAGCATTGTGATGTTATTCACTGCATGTGAATGCATAATGGGTTCTGCAAGAAATGCTTTTCCTAGTTTGTTCATTTACATTGTATCTCCAGTGCAAGTTAGATGCTGTGTTTAAGTGGTTTGAAGTATATGTTGAAAAAACTGTTGACTGTCATTTGATAGTTCATTCTATTTCCTTTTCATTATATGTGAACATGGTTAATTCGTGAAGTAACTACTGTGGAATCCTTTTGACAGTAATGTATTTGGAATATTGAATTTTTAAGGAAAACAGTGGAGGCTGAACAAGTAATGTCATCTTGAGAAAACTTGAGAAAAAAACACAGTTTATCGTTGCTGTAGCTGAACTTGCTTTTAAAACTTAACCTGAGTATATGACCATAGAGGCTGGTTTTCTTTGGCTTTTTTGGGGAGGGCACTTGAGAAATGTTATCACAACCTGATAATGCTGCTGGGCTTTTTCTCTGTAAAAATTAATTTTCTTGCTGTGCTGAGTCTTCCTTGCTGCATGTGTTTGTTTTAGTTCCGAAGAGCAGGGGCCATTCTCCAGTTGGAGCACGCGGGCTTCTCTTGTGGAGCACAGGCTCTGGCATGCGTAGGCTACAGTAGTTGCAGCTCGTGAGCTCAGGCGTGTGGTGCAGGGGCTTAGTGCCCTGAGGTATGTGGATTTTCCCAGACCAGGGGTTTGAACCAGTGTCCTCTGCATTGGCTGGCAGATTTTTAACCACAGGACCACCAGTGAAGTCCCTGGATTTTTTTTTTCCTTACTTTTGTTTTGAAGAGTTTTGCTTTCTGTTTCAGGGTTTGTTTTTTAACTTGAAATGCCTTTGTAGGAATTTGGGAACATAATTAAGCTTGACAATTTTCAGTGGTGTTTTTCAATTCCAAATCTTTTTTTTCTCTCATGACAATCGCTTTTGCACATATGGCAGATACATACAGATCTGGGCCCTTCATAAAACTGCTATGAATGTTGTTCTGCAAATTAGTTATACATTTCATCTTTCATGGTGATGATACCTAAAGGTGGAGTTGCTGAGTGTTGCGTATGAAACAGCCAAGGAGTTTTCCAGAGCTGCTTGGCCTTGTAGCCTGAGAGCAGTGATGATGCCTGCAACTCTGCATCCGTGCCAGCATCAGTTCTGTCGGTTTTCACTGTTGAGATGCAGGCGCATCACGTTTCCCTAGTAACTTCTCATGTTGATTACCTTTTCAAATAGTTTTGGCCATTAAGGTACCTTTTTTAGTGAAGCACATTTGCCTTTCTTTTATCATACTCTTAATTGCTGTTTATAACTAGGTTGTGTAAGTTTCATTACTAGCTGATATAAAACTCACTGATCTGTGTATATAACCTATGAGATATATATATATATATTTTAAGTACAGATAGCTTTATTAGAATTCTGAAAAGCCAGATGATGTTGGGAATCCAAAATTGAATGTTTTTATTACATATTTTTGTATAGTATCAGCTGAAAGATGAAACTTATTAGTTGAACTTGTGATATTTTCTGGCATGATAACATGGGTGGAAGATCCATGAACTTGATAGAAAATCAAAGCCTTAGTTTTTTTTTTTCTTTTTTTCTTTTTTTATTGCAAATTTGCAATCCAGAAGTCATGAAAATTAAAGTCATGTTGAGAAAATGTCTACCTTCTAATGAATTCAGTCAACTGAAGGCGTATTTTATTGTATCATGTATTCATCAGTTGAAATTGTATTACATCAAAAAGCAGGAAGAACTTGTAAATATATGTATTGTCACGTCTTTAACAGATTTACTGATTTTACGTTTTCTTGGAAAATAATGACTTCTGAATTTTTGGTATACTGTTCTCTTAATCACAAACTATTTCTCTATAGTCTTTGAAGATATACTCTTTGTTGCTTAAAGAGAATGTATTAGGTAACAGAATGAGATTATTTCAGTATAGAGTATAGTACATATTTTGCCTGTTGCAAATTGCCTGTGGTAATAGCCTTTGGTTTATTGTTTTAGCAGCTATTATCGTGGTGTCTTTGCCATCAAGGTAGAGGATCATGTTTGGTTCTGCATAAGATCACAGAGGGTGACAATCATGAGGATGTCCCCTTCTTCATAACTACAAATTTCAGAATTGCTCAGAAGGTGTTTGTGAGCTTGCTAATAAAGAATGTGATTCCTTTGTGGTTCAATACCACAGGAGTCTGTTCCAGAGGAAAACATTACCTTTGAGGGTGATTTTTGGCAAGGTATTATTTTTCACCATGAATCATTATTAAAATCCTGTTTCTTCAGTTTTTACAATTCATGTATTGTAATTGGAAGAGCTTTGTAGAGTATTCCTCAACCTCCGTATATGTTGAATTATGTAGTATTTATCTTCTATAGTTATTTCTTGCAAGGTACTATTATTTCTATATAATTTATATAATAGACTATGTAATATATTAATGATTGACTTGTATACTCAGTGGAAAATGAGGATGTGAGTACTCATTCTCATTGGTACATAGTTGACTGTTAGGAATATGCCTTCTGTATTTTTAATCTTTTGTTTCTTTGAGAAAAGTCATCAGAAAAGTGCATGTTGTGTTGGCCATTCACATTTCTGACTGTGAAAAAAATCTTACGGTGTGGTTGGAGTCTTTTTGTTTTCACTGTTACCAGCCATTTCAGATGTGCTGGCATGGAATAAAAGCAAATATTAATTCTCACACAGCTTTTTTTATTTTAAAGTAACTCTGCCTATGATTTAAAAAAATTATGGGTGCTTTGTGCTGGTGAGCGGGGGCTAGTCTTCGTTGCAGTACTCAGACTGCTCATTTTGGTGGCTTCTCTCTTGATGCACGTGGGCTCAATATTTGTGGTACGAGGGCTTAGGTGCTCCGTGGCATTATGGAATATTCCCAGACCAGGGATCAAACCTGTGTGCCTTGCATTGGCAGGCAGATTCTATCCACTGTGCCACCAGGGAAGACCTTACAAAATTCTGATTGAGCCAGTTTTATCTTTAAATTAAAAACAGACCATGCTTGTCACATAGTTTTGGTATAGTTACAGCTTCAGATTTTATTTAAAGACCTTTTCCTAGGGAATTCTCTCGCAGTCCAGTGGTTAGGACTTGGCACTTTCACTGATAGTCCTGGCTTTGATGTTTGGTTGGGGAACTAATTTCCTACAAACCTTATGGCACGGCCAAAAAATTATTTTTATTTAAATGCAATTGTTGGTTGATTTTCACATTTTGAATATTCCTCAGGATCAGAAAATATTAGAAGTATATCAAGCTTCTACATATCCTCAGATTCTTAACTCCAAATTATGAGCATTACTGAATGGATGTGGGCAGCAGGACACCTGTTAAGTGTCTTACTGGTATTGGTTACAATCCAGTGCAGAGTAAACCTGGCCACATTTGGTATGAGACTACTTCTTCATTATTTTAGTTTTTTTTTTTTTTGGTCTGTGCTGGGTCTTCGATGCTGCGTGCAGGCTTTCTCTAGTTGTGGAGAGTGGGGGCTATTCTCTGGTTGTAGTGGCTTCTCTAGTTTAGTTGGGGCATGCAGGCTTAGTTGCCTCATGGCATGTGGGACTTCCCAGACCAGGAATTGAACCTGTGTCCTTTGCATTGGCAGTGGATTCTTAACCACTGTACCACCAAGGAATCCCAAAGAGTACTTCTTTACACAAAACTCTAGCAGTTTGTTTTTTAATATTGAATTAAAGGATTAAGGTAAACCATACTTTTTAAGACTGGCAGCTAGCAGTTTCTAACTTCTGGAGTACCTTTTTAGTTTTCAGTGTAGTTAGTGCTTTGCAAAATTTGTGGGTTCACTGAAGATAATTAAAATCTTTAGTAATCCAGGTGTCACTGTGTCTGTAATAATTCAGTAATCCAGGTATCCATTTTGATTTATTTCCATTTTTCTTCTCATCCTTGATTTTACCAAAGGTAATGTATATATAGGTAATACAGTTATAAAACTAATGTAGAATGCTAGCTGCAAATGGAAATAATATAAAACATAATTTTTGTTGATTTATGGCATGATTTGCTTGAAAAAACCACAGAGCCTGTTGGCTGTGAATCTGTTTCACATGCAGGATTTTCATGTAATTTTTGCATGCTTTTGGCAGGGAGGGTGATGCTTCATCCAATTCTCAGGTAATCTGAGACCTAAATGGGTTTGAAAAGTACCAGTTGAGGATAGTTACTTCCAGTATATTTGGGTCACTAGTAGTAGTGAACCCAAAACTAGTTATTTACTTCTCAATTATAATTGTGTACTACTGCACTAGTATTTCAGGGATGCTATTAAGACACACTTCATAGGGATGAGGTTAACAATAAACATAAACCTGTACCCCTGCAGAAAACCTGGAGTGCATGCTATCTTCGTAGGTAAGAAGTCATCTGATGGAGCACAGCAGGTTTTGTGTGCCCTATCTTGGAACAAGCCGAATAACATTTTGTAGATAGAATAGGAATCGGGATCCTACGTAGGGTTTTGTATTATAAACGTCACAGGCTGTGATGAGGGACCAGCAGTCCAGACGAGAGAACCTATCTATGGAAAATGGAAATGGGACACTTTACCATCTAGGATTTAAGTGTTTGCTGCCAAAACACAAAATTGAGCAGAATTTTTAAGTCAGTTGATGTTCTTTGACGAAACAAAATAAAATCTTGACTGAATGGACATAATCAGATGAGGCAGAGATTTAAATGGCGTCTTGGTGGAATTTAATTACTGTCATGGACTGTGGGAAATAAGAGAACACTTGTGGTTTTTAATCATTTAAACTTGTTTTTAAAGGGCTAAATCTGATTTTATTGTAATCCTAGGAGAAAAGGAAACATGGATGAAGCTACCTGAAATTTGGCTTCCTGTGTGAGCCCAAAGTTGCAAGCTGAGGAAAACTTGCCAGTGTCCTTTCAGGTCAGCCAGCACCTGAAGTCACTGCTCCTTTCATCTTCCCGGTGCCAGGACTTGCTGAATGACTTGGTCCATGTGTTAGCATTAGTAGAACAGTTTATGGCCGAGTTGAAACCTGTGCTTCTCTGTCTTTGTATGCGACTTGGGGGGTTGATGCCCTTTTCTTTGAGGAAGACTTGAGGTTATTTTTAGCTCCAATTTCCCCCACTGGTAGTAATATACTGGTTTGTCTTTAGGCAAGACTGGACAGAGAATAGAAATGCAATGAACAGATCCTATTTACACAGGAAAAAGGTCCCTCCTGTTTTCTAGTGATTCTCAGGCTAAAATTTTAGTCTCGTGTTCCTTAGGAAAGTGTGTATCTCAGGCTAAAATTTTAGTCTCGTGTTCCTTAGGAAAGTGTATAATCTTAAAAAGGGCTCAATATCATAAAATCATTTTCAAGCTGGGACATGAACTCCGTTTTTTCCTTGCTGCTTTCCACCTTTTTAAGGGGATTTTAGAAACAGATTTTCTAATATTTTGTTAAATTATACATAAAGTTCTTCAGAATCATTCACACTATGTGATCATTATGACAGAACTGTCATGATGGTATATTGTCATCCTAATAGATCCCCAAAGTATTAAGGATATTTCTTCCCTCACCCCCACCCCTAATCTGGTGATTTTCATTTGTTCTTGTCACAGTGGTCTTGGGGAGCAGGAACGTCAGCCTTTCCTGAGCACAGCTTGTGAGATGAGACCGATGGCATCAGACCACTGGCTTAATAGGGTCCCAGGGGATCTGCATCCACAGTGAGTGAGAAGCACTGACCAGTGTCACACCCTTGGGAAATGTCACCTTTTAAAAGCATCTGAGGTCTCATGGACACACAGTATGACAGCTGTTTATCAGGCTGTTATCCAGCCCTGGAATTACATTGGGTTGTTGTTCTCAAAGCTCCAAGTTAGAATCACTATCACCTGGAAACTTCCTTAAAATGCCAATTCCTAGTTCTACACATTGTTTACTGAACAGGATCTTGGGTGGGATCCAACAATTTATTTTTTAAATTTTGGATACACCACATGGCTTATTGGGATTTCAGGTCACTGACCAGGGCATGGCAGTGAAGGCACTGATTGGCAAGCCCTAGACCAAGGAGCTCTACCCTGCCTGCCGCCCCCTTTAAAAATTCAGTGTTTTACTTTTAAGAACTCTTTTCACGGATCATCAGTTATAATTTATAATTGCCCTTTGAAAATAGGTTTACAGAGAATTACTTTATACTCTGGGTGTTTTGTTGGCATTAAATTTTCAAAGTGTTTAGGTATGTAGTTTCCTTACTTAAAAAAATATGGGTAAGAAAAAAAAAACCCTATGTACATAGGCCAACTGTGCTGTGATGCTGAAGATACAGTTTTATATGGCCAATCTACTGCTTTTCATTGCAGACTTTATTTTCTGGTCAGTGAAAAGAAACTTCATTCAAGGAAAACACTAACTTTGACAGTTAAATAAAGTGGAAGATGTATATTTAATTCTAGAAGGAAGAAGAAGGAAGTGTCTTATTTTTCCCTGTCAGAAATCTTAGAACAGACTGCTGGGCCCCACTCTGTGACTTAAAGGCCCAAGAATTTTCATTTCTTAACAAGGTGGTGCTGCTCTGGGCTAGGGATCTTGTTTTCCAAACTCTTAAGGGTACTTAATCTCTATATACGAGTTCACAACAAAATACTAGTTATAGAAAGTTTTATAGGTCAAATATATGACTTCAGGTCTTGAATTCTATCCTAGCAAATTATTTGTAACAGAAACTTGTTTTTTCTTTAGAAAAATATATACTATTACTTACTATTTTCTAACAATGAATTTACCTTTTTTCCCCCAGGTCAAATCATTCTGTGGAAGAAATGAACAACAAGGGAGAAATGAACCAGAAGAATCTTGTTTTATTTTTCAATTTATTACCACTCCATTATAAACAACCTGTGGATAGATGAGCAGTCATGACACTTTATCCAGGTTTGTTTTCCTCAATTGTATACCTTCCCCTGGTACACTGACGGACTACCACAGACCCACCCCGTGGAACTAGAAATTGTAGGTTAAAAAAAAAAATACTCCAACTAACCTAACAGTTTTGGGTTAGTCCCCATCACAAAGGAACTACTTATAAATTTGTCTTTGTTCAAGTGAGAAGAATCCTGTTTTTATCAGCATGTATCTTGGCCCAAGGGAAGCAAGTGGTGAGACATGAATCAAGACAGAGACCGTGGTAGAGCTTCAGCTTTTTCCACAAAAACTGATAGCAGACAGGAGGGAGGGTGGTTCTTGGGGAACTCAGGGTGAGTATGACTTGAGTGAATTGTGGACCTCACCAATGTTATTACCATTTTCCAGCCCATGAGTAAATCTCTTCTGTACCAGTTGGGAGAAGTCAGGCCTGGAAACGCCAGGTTTGGCTGGAAAAGAGCTTCATCACCTACAGGTCGGCAGAGGGAAGTGGTGTGGACGCCCTCAGTGGCCTGAGCTTACCTAGCAGTGTTTTTCAAAGTAACTTAAAAGGCTTTGTACTGTATTATGCTGTGAAACAGATTTTACTACATTCATGAATTTTCTAAATTCTCAAAGACTTTAAAAATTATATATTTGGCCATGTGGGACCTTAATTCCCTGATTGGGGATTGAACCTGCACCCCCTGCATTGGAAGCATGGAGTCTTAACCACTGGACTGCCAGGCAAGTCTCAAATTTCTCTGAATTCTTATTTTATAAATCACTTTTTGTTATTATCTGTGTCCTACTGTTGTTATAAGGCATTAATTAATCATAAAACGCTCTAAAGTCTGTCAGCTTTCTGTATGCTAAAGTCTTACTACTAAATAAACTAGTAAATTCTCATGTGACAACTCTGGAAGTTTAACAGTTCCAAGTAGAATTTTAAAAGTAGCACTTGAGATTCAAATGCAAACTTCCTGACATTCCACTGAAGAAATTCTAGGAGTTCAGATGAGAATGTCGACAGTAACTCCCCATCCAACTATACTTCAGCATTTATTCGTAGGTATGTTAGGTACTTCTCTTTGGTGCTGCGTACCGTTAACAAGGATGTATATAATGTGCTTTCTTTTGCAGCCACATTCATGAGAGTTGACCAGGTCTCTGGTAAGTTAAGTTGACAACCCAATTCTGCATTATGTCCGTACCTCAGTATGCACACTGGAAAGTAGTAATTGCTGAGGGGTCATGGTTTTTAGAGTTAGGAGAAAACTGAAGAAGAAAAATGTGTACTAATTGGTCTTCAGTGAGTCTGGATAATGAGCAGTGCAATCCTGTTTGTAGCTGAGATCTCCTGTGGCCCTAGGATGAAGCTCAGTTGTAGTTATGGGGTTTGAGATGGCTTTGGTTTCTACTCATAGTAGTAGCAGCAAATCTGCAAACCTTTGATAAGGTACTGCTTGAGAATTGGGTTTTTCAGAGCAATCATTATACACACATATGCCAGTATTAAACTGAAGGATGTGATCTGATCAGCTGCCTTGTCAGATGGGAGTTTCAAGACCTCATCATCCTTAAGCCACAAGGGTCATAATTTCCCCACCCAAGGGCACATGTGCTTAGGTTAACCTGCATGGCTCTATAAGTGGTTATATTCCCAGTGCGCTTGCGCTTGTAAAGGTGTGCTCTTAAGATAACAGGAATGTTCTTTAAAAACTCCTCTTACAATCCTGGACAAAGTGCACTGCTGCTGACACAAATCTTGCAGCTGTGAAGTCAGATGCAGAGGAGTATAGGATCCAATACAGTTGAAGTCTAACGCAGGTATTGCTATTGCTAAACCAAACACATTTCACATCACCTTTTTGCTGAAGTCCTGAGACTTGAGATAGAAAATAGAAAACATTGTATTTTATTGAGGACACTGTAGGAAAAGTCAGTTTAACCCTGAAATGTCTATACAGTGTATGTGGTTTGCTCTAACTATCCACAGGTTCTGTCTGCATCTAGGGCACAAAAAAGTTACCCAAAAGCACACCAGGAACCCCCTACATAGAATTAATATTAATACCTAGCATTTACTTTGTTTTAGGTACTGTTAGTCCAGAGATGATTAAAAGTAAAAGGTGGGACTCAAAGGGGTTAAATGCAGATACACCATTTCATATAAAGGACTTGAGCATTGGGATTCTGGAACCCAGTCCCCTGTGGATGCTGAGAGAGGACATATGTGACATTTCTGAAAATTTTTCATTAAAATTTAACTCAATTATAAAACCAATCAAACTTAATGATTTTATACATTTCTATAATCCGGACACCTTGGTTTATTAGTCTGTCAAATATTTCTTGAAAGAATGGAAGCATTAGACCTGTGGGAAGTCACTTGACAGGAGGCACAGTGGGGCTGGCCTTCCCAGCATTCAGAATAAGCACAGACTATCTGATGACTAGAGTTCATGAACAAGGATACAGTTCACATGTAATTATCACCTTTTATGCCTCAGTTTGTTTTTTTCTGCTATATCTCAGATTCTGGTTTATTTTCTTTGCAAACAATAAAGGGTAACTGCAGATACACAAAAGCTCTCACTCACTCAGGATCTATGTCAACAGCTTGTTGGAAAGGTCAAACCTTCCTTCAGTCTTCTTTACATTCGCCCTACTTTGAGGGCTACAAACTCATACCTTATCTTAGTGCCTGGTAACTTAATGTAACATTCCTGCTGGGCTTTTTTAACACAAAAATTCAGTAGAGCTAGTAAAAAAATTTTCAAGTTAAAAAAAAAAAAGTTTTAATTTCCTTAAATAATCCTCGTATGTACCCTTCCACATTGTGGAAAATCATAGTCTGGACACAACATTGAGATTTCAGAACACTTGCACAAATACTTACATCTGTGTTTTATGTTAGACCCACTGTGTCCCATCTTAACAGACTGTAACAGATGACTGGCCTTCAGTGCAAGAGGCTTACAGAAGAAACTTTAAATTTGGAAATGTTAGCTGTGCCAGAATTCCAAACTGCTTCACAGAGTATTTAGAAATAGGTCTTAAGAGTAATTCTTCCAATTCTTTCTGGTCACTGTAGCTGTACTCTGTATGCACCTATTAGCAACTTAACCTGTTGAAAGAAAAAAAAAGCATATATTTCTAGTTTCCCTTAGAAGAGAGGGGAAAAAACCCTGTCTCTTTGGCAGGATTCTCAAATTGGTTATCAGTGTAGTGGCTAGATTACCATTATTTTAATTAAAGATCCAAGTACTTGTAATTGAATTTTTAGGTTACTCCTTTTTCTCCTTTATTCAGTCTAGCTAATGATCATACATGTGGAAATTAAATATCAAAGTACAGAACATTCCCTATGGCTGTGTACCATGGACATCAGAGGGTTGAGCCCATCTCAGATCCAGGCAGGAACACAACAGTCCTGAAAACTTGAAGAAACACCCGAGCAGTGACACTAGATTCAAGGAAAGGATTCTCACCTTAGCAGAAGGTGCTTCCGTCAGCCTTATGAACATTTTATTGAGGCCTGCCACAGGGCTGAATGAGTAAACAAAATGACTGTCCTGGGGAAGATAGCAAACCAAAGATGAGCATTTTTGCAGACAGCCATCTCTAGAAACAGATTCCAGACATCTTTAGACTCTCATTAGAAATACACACATTTTGTTTGTATTTCTTTAGGCAACATGCTGTGATTACTTTTCCCTTGACTTAGATAACTTCATCTGGAAAAGCTATTAGAGATAAATCATTAATATGTATCTGGCCATATATATATAGCGTGAGTATTAAAAATCTTCATAACCAGTTAATTTTAATTCAGCTTAAGGACAGACTTTTGTATATGGCAAAGGTAACAACAAAGATTCTTCAAGGGCATTTTTAATTAAAAAAAATTATAGTAAAATGGTCACTATATAAAAATCAAAATTATACTAAGATAACCTAAAAAATGATGCATTAAAACTAAACAAATACAAGCAGCACAGTGTTTGCATTGGGATTTTTTGAAACATCAACAGCATGCTTTTCTTACTTTTTGAATTTTAAGTGAACATTTGTTAATTATAATGCATTTAAAGGTATATTTAAAATTAGTTTCTAGACCATGAGAATTTTAAAACAATTTATGATTATTCGGTTATTTCCATTTCCAAAAACTGCAATTAACAGAAGAATTTATAGGTCATCTCTGCTTTTGATTAGAAGAATGTACTCATCAGTAATGAACTACAGAGACTTACCAGAAAAACAGGAAGTTGAAATTTATCATTTAAAACAACAGCTTGTACACTACATGGTCCACAGAGGCGAGCAATGACCTCTTTACCCAGAAAGTTTGCATGGAAGATAAACAGCAGGATGCCAGAGCCTGAATTGAGGAGATGTAAATAGATATTTTAATTTCCATCCAAAGACAGCACTTCGCAGAGCTTGAGGGCATCATGAGAGCCTGAGTGCACAGGCCATCCACGTGGGAATCCTGTTAGAAAACATGTTCCTGCCAACCTGAGTGACTAGGATCCAGGGACGGAGTGGTCCTTAATCCTAGTCTGACAGACACATACTTGATCCAAACAAAGAGTATGACCAAGGGACTCTAATCAATTTGCTGGCATTTGTTTCATGGTTATCAATATAAATTGCTTTCCTTCAGTTTTAAGAGCTACATGCCCCTCAAGATACCAAGGTCAATGTCTGTCAAACTTCAGTACTTTTAAAGGTGTTGGCTGGGGTTTTGAGAGCATACTGAGGAGACCATATACTGAGTCTCAAGAGTGAGAATAGCCAGGTATCTTTGGTAAGATTTCAGTTGAGTAGAAAACATTGTTAGTGGCTGCAGACATTGTGCATGTGCAGAGAAAGCCAGGTGTGACCCAGGGCTGTCCAGCTGCACCAGAGCACTGGTATGGATGCCTAGCCAAATCCACAGTTGACAATGACTAAGATGTTAGAAATGACTGGCTTTGATTGGTAGAGCTGTAGGTTAAGTTTCCATTAACGTATTTAAACAAAACATTTCAAACCAGTTGATCCTAAAGGAAATCAACCCTGAGTATGTATTAGAAGGACTGATACTGAAGCTCAAATTGTTTGGACACCAGATGTGAAGAGAAAAAGAACCCTGATGCTGGGAAAGACTGAAGGCAGGCGGAGAAGGGGGCAGCAGAGGATGAGATGGCATCACTGACTCCATGGACTTGAGTTTGAGCAAACAGTGGGAGATAGAGGAAGACAGAGGAGTGTGGCATGCTGCAGTCCATGTGGTTGCAGAGTTGGAACACGACTGAGCAACTGAACAAGAACAAACAAAAGCCAGAACACCCAACCCAATTCCCACCTTTCAGGTCAAGAGAGTGCTATCTCCACTCCATATACTTGGCACCCATGGCCATGGTCTCACCTACCAAGTAGCTGTTAAGCATAAACTCATAGGAGGCAGGACTGAAATTCTCATCTCTACTAATCAACTTTACAATGGGGCAACACATTTTCTTTATTCTTGATCTCTTTAAAAGGGCAAGACTCAGGGATAATAAAATTCAAGGAAAATATTGATTCTGGGCTTACCCTGTTGAAAGCTAGATTTCAGTAAATTTTAATAAAAAGCATTATAATTATTAAGACCCAGGTTCTATACTTCTAAAACAAGTGTAAAGACTGCTGTGTAGACTCCTCAGGGTCAGCTACGATGGTATCGGCTGCATTTTGTTCTTAACCTATTTTATATAATTAGTATACATGATGGAGTTTGTTAAGGTTTCCTTCAAAGAGGTTATTAATGTTTCTAATGTCACATTTCAAAGTGGGAGAAAAACAAGGCTTACCTTCTGGTATAGTCTGTGGGGGTCTGTAATTGAAATCCATTGAGAAATCTGGCCCCTCACAGAGGCGATGGCATGCTATTGGGAAGACTGGCTCCAGTAGCACAAGACGTGCTTCAAAGTAATCCTTGATAGTTTCTTCAGCGACTCTCGAAAGTCTAATAAAAAAGCAGAGTAAAAGCTGTTCATGTAGGAAAGAATCTTGAGGCACAGAACAATCAGACGAGTGAAGCCTCACTCGTCAAATGAGTGCATGAATGATCAAGGAGAATCAGAAATAAGAATTCTGCTAGAAAATAAAGCCAAGAATTGTCACACACAGTCTTGTTATAGTACTTGGTTTAGAAAGCAGTCAAAATGATTGGTGCTAATTCAGAAAGTATTTTGAGACTATCCGGTAGGTAAAGTGTAACTGACCTGACACAAACAGAGCATCCAACAGATGCTCTGCTTTAAGGAGCATAAAATCCCCAAAACTATTTAGTCACAGACGTGAAACAAAGTCCAGCATGCCTGGACCCCCTCAGCTGTGGGCAAAGCAGGCAGACTAGTCTCCTTACTTGGTGGCCACCTGTAACCAATACCTGGCTGCTGCTAAGGCTCTCAGTGATGGCAGCCCAGGTGGCCAGAAACACCCCCTTTGGCCTTTGTCTCTTGTCTGAAATTTGCCTATATCTGGAACAGAGAATAACCATCTTTCAGGCGTGAAGATCCAAGTCTTATCTTACCCTTGGTGGGCGAGTACGAGAGGGGCTCTGCTACCTGACTGAAGCACCTCACCTACAATAGTGCTGCTCCTGAAGCTCCTGTTACATGTGAGCAAGAGAAGTAATAAAAAGCTACTAAATTACCTAATGAACTTCCAATAACATCTAATGATTTTGAATTCATTTGAAAATGCATGAACTTGAACAGCTAAACTGTGATAATTTCCAGACAATGTAATAACCATTCAGCACTAAAAAGAAACAAGTTTATCAGGCTGCGTAAAGACACGAAGACAACATGAATGCTTATCACCAAGATGCAAACCTGGAAAGAGGCATATACGGTATGAGTCCAACTAGCAGTAAAAACATCAGTGGTCTCCAGGGTTTGGGCAAGTTGAACAGGTGGAGCACAGCATGTTTAGGGTGGTGAGATGAGTGTGTGACAGGGCAATGGTGGGTACACGTCATCACACATCTGCCCAAAAACACAGGATTTGTGACACCAAGTGGAACCTCAGGGGGCTCCAGGTCAGGAGGATGTGTGGGTCAGCCACAATGGTGGGTCCCCATCACTGGGGGTCCATCAACTGTAACAGCCTCACTGCCCAGGGTAGGATAGTGCATGTAGGAAATCGCTACTTTTTGTTCAACTTCGCTCAGAAGGTAAAAACTGCTCTCAAAAATTACCTTTCTTAGAAACAATGAAGTTTAAATGGTTTTAATGTTTGGAAGCCAAGTTGAGTGTAATTAAGATTTTAAGATGATACTCCTAGATAGAACGGCGTTAAGTTTGAAGGTTTCTAACTCCTCAATAACTTGCAGACTTTGTCCACCACTTTTAAAATTCATTTTCTTAGACCAGAAACCCATCATGACTTGTACTTGACTTTTTCTGAGCAGTTACATACACACTGTCCATTACGTGTCCCAACAGGGCACACTCCTCCCACACTTACGTCTCTAAGTGGCTCTTCAGCAGGTCGTACACCAGCACGTTGTTGCACTGCTTTGCAAAATGCAGTGCACTGTTCTGGTGCTTTGACAGAATGTTGCAGTCAGCTCCACATTCAATGACCAGCCGGACGATGTCTGAGTTTCCTCTTTTACAAGCCTGTGTCGGGAGTAAAGGAGTAAAAAGAAATCAACCGTGATCAGTGTCTGTTCCTCTCAGCTGAGAGTTCTCCATAGAGAAGGACCCCTGGGGTTGGAAACCGGCTTGGAAGTAGACCTGTGGTCCTCCTGCAACTGTCCCTCCTGCTTCTCTGCCATTTCTCACCCAATTCGACTTTCTAGCCTGCCTCTCTCCTGAGCTTAAGATTCACATTTTAAAACACCTGAGCATTTACATTATGTATAAAAATCCTACCACAAGTCTGCAAACCAATCCATGCCATCCACTGTAATGGGGAATGTTACACAGCAGCGTCAAAGTCCAGCCTCTATTCTGATTAAACACAGCACCATCAAAGTCCAGCCTCTATTCTGATTGAGTCTTTCTCGAGGTTAAACTTTTTGAAGGCTCCCAGCTGCTATCTGGATGAACTCCTACTTCCTTGGCACAGATGTAGAGTTTTGTGCACCCCTATTCCATTGTGCACCCCTATTCCACACACACCCTTTATGCTCCTGTTTAAATATCTGCTTAGAATGTGCCTAGTGATTTCTCAATAAGTTTTAAATTCATGCTTTCAGCTGCCACCTATGCTGTAAACATACTTCAATAGGATCACATAAAGGAAAATTAAAATTCAAAAGGAGGGTGACTGAACAAAATAAACATTTCTATGAACCAAAAATGAAACAGGAACACCAGCAGCAAACAAGTTTTAACCCCCAAGTGTGGAAGAAGAACGACAAAAGTCCAGCACAGCCTCAGGGTCCTGCCCACGGTGAACGAGGGGTCTGACCATCTGCCTGACTCAGGAAAGGTCAGAAGAGGAACTGCAGCCACCAGCCCTTGGCGAGCACTCCCTTCATGGACGAGGCAGGAGCCAGAGCCTCCACACACGGTCACGACCTGCTAGGTGGACAGCACCTCAGGCCAGAAAACCTGGAGCTGTGGGTGGGAGGTGGGGAGCTTCTCCAAGCTTCCACAATCCACCCACAGGTGAGGAAACCTGGGGCCAAGGAGATGAAGTCACCAATGGGAAGTAACAAATCCCCGTCCATCTGCTCCATGCCCAGATCTCTACAGGGCACAGTCTGTCCCCTTCCACTGACACAGTTCATCCCAGCTGACCTAGATCTTCAGGATGCAGCTGAGCCAGCTGCCAGGTTCCCTCCAAGGCTCAGCTGGAATCCACAAAGCTTGGCCACCAGGTTACAGAGCCCACAACTCCCTGTGCTTCCTCTCATCACACCCAGTAACTCCGTCTTTCTGGGTCTGTTTCTGTCACTCAGCTGCAACCCCTTCAAGTCCACAGATGGTCTTGTCCCGGTTGACCACCAGCCCCAGTACCTCCCACCAGCAGTGGGAGGTCCCGTGGAGAATATGCTCCCTTGGGGGAGAGTATGGGGGGGTGTGGGCAGTGCTCCCAGGGAGGCATTTACCTTCATTAGCGCCGTCTCACCATTGTTCTGCTGGACGTTTACAAAAGCTCCTGCTTCCAAAAGAATAGCCACGGTAGTTAAAAAGTTCTGTTAAAAAAAAAAAAAAAAAGTGGATTTAATCCCCTCAAACTCTTCATAAGTAAGATATTTCAAGATGTTTTGAAACTTCTAGCCATCAGCAAAAGTACTTAAATTCTATCTCATGCAAGGTGGTGAACACCACAGACTACTGCTTCTGCTCCTCCCTCCCAACCCCCGCCCAGGGTCCCAGGAGAGTCAGGGGCTGCATGGAGCGGCCGCTCCCACTGGCACCCTGCACAGCCACACACCTTCTGCCAGCAACTTCAACCTCAACTTTAACCACTGGTTTCAACATAAAGAACCTCTTCATCTCAGTCCTTTAATAAGATAACATGGAACATTTTAATTAAATTATTAACCAAAGGGACACTTTAGATTAGAAAAGATTTTTTAAAAATCTAAGAATTAAATCATTTTTAAAAATCTAAGAATTAAATCAATACCTTAATCAGAAGTTCTTTTTCAATACAAATCATCTCCAACTAGATAGATGATATTTGGAAATTTCAAAGTACGAATGTCAATAAAAACACTGATTTATGACAAGTCATAGATGAACTGAACTAAGTTATGTGACTGTGTGACTGGCACACTGCCCAGCAGACACAGATTCTGTCTCAGTCCCAAGGCTGTGGAAACACAGCATGAAACACAGCATGCTGAGTGGCCCACCTTCTCGGCGGCGTGGATGAGTGCCGTAGTCCCATTCTTCTGCCGACCATTCACCTTCGCCCCCTTCCTGAGGAGCAGCCTTAGCAGGTCGTCCTGCCCTCCTGCAGCCGCGAGCATCACCAGTGTCATCCCGCTCGAATCCTGCGTTGGTTTTGTTACACACGTGGTACCAAAAGTGTGGGAGAGAAAGATCCCAATGAACATAATAAGATGATTCGTATGAATGCATCTAAAACAAATGTACAAGAACTACATGAAGAAAAAAACCCAAAGAATTTTAAGAGAAGAAATGAAGAGCTGAATGAATGAAGAGTAGATACGCTCCTCAAAAAAAGACTCAAAATGTTAAAATGTCAATTCTGAGCCAAATTAATCTATTTCATGCAATTTTAATGAAAATCCCAATGTTTTAAATGTAATCCTAAAGGATTAAACCTAAAAAATCCACAATTAAAGCAATAAAACTAAAAAGAATATATAAAAATCTTTTCTAAGCAAGATTAGATGACCAAAAGCCATAAAGCAAAAGATCAAATGATGTGACTACCTAAAAATAAAAATGTCCCCAAGCAGTTAAGACTCAAAAACGTAGAACAGAAAGGGTTAATATGCTTCAAGTATCCTTATAAATCAGTGTGAAAAAAACTCAGAGGTCCAGTGGTTAACACTGTGTTTCCACTGCAGAGGGCACAAGTTCAATCCCTGCTTCAGGAACTAAGATCTGGCAAGCCAAAGGCATGGTCAGAAAAACCTCCCAAAACAATAGAAAGAGGGGCAGTTGCTGTAAATAGGCAACTAACAATCAAACACAAATGGTGACAAAACAAGGAGTCACTTTCCCCTCAAAACGCAGAGGTTAAACCATAGACAAAACCAGGCATATCATGGCTAACTAAAGGTCATTATATAGGGCTGGAATTACAAGAACTGTAATCCTATTATACGTTGCTACAATGTTTGACTCTTATAAAGTGAACATGTATTACATTTAAAATAACTCAGGTTTACTCTTTAACTATAAAAGAGCTATTTTCCATCTTCCTATCATCAGATTTTTAGAAAGACACTTCACCTCTTGGTCCAGGTTATATTCTTCACTTGAGTTAAGAGCAACCTTCACAGTAATATAATCCCCATTTTTCACAGCATCCCTCAATAAATCTAAAATGAAAGAAAAGATAAATTAGGTTTCAATAACTAGATTCATGAAGAACAACCCTATAATTCCAAAACCACTCACTGCTTGGAATCACATCTGCTGTAGTAACATTCTCATCTTCTCCATCAAGATGCTTCTGGAAGTCCTCCAGTCTCATCCACTCCAGCTGCAGATCCATGCCCAGACTCAGAACCTGCTGTCTGCCATCTGGGACACAGAAGAGCCTTATTAAGATATACTTTTATGGACTATAAAAAATACAATGCCGTTTTATTTAAGCATATGGTGTCCTAACCCAAATGTTACACTTTATACCTATGTCATCTGAGTCTCTAATTAAATTTCTTAGTTTCTTTGGGTAGTAATATGAACTGTCCACTTTTAGATGCCATACATGAAAGAAGCATAAAGACTAATAGGTATCTTATTAACTGTAAAATAGTAACATTAATTTTAGTAGCTGAAAGAAAGTGAGAAATCACAGGGCTTCAGTAAGAGGAAGCCCTGTGATTTGTTCCTTTGGTCATTCTTCTTGGACAGCTGGTCAGCCCTCCCCAACCAGAAGGGCCAGAGACAGAGGGTCAACCTTACACAAGGGATAAATGTACACTGCTTACAATATTCATGTAGGTAGTCACTCTAAATATAAATAAGTCATTGCCTGTGATCCTGTCAGACTTGGCTCAAGCTTCTCCCCCTGCAAGTATCCCCACCAAACCCCACAGCGCTCAGGGCCCTGAGATGCCCCCACTACAAGTGACCCAAGTGCTGGTTTCCACCCTCATGTCCAACCCATGGGCTCATCAACACTAGGGATGAAAATGTTTAGTCCCTACTGGCAGTGGAATAGAGGACATTTGGGAAGAACTCAAAATGGCTGTACTATTTTAAACAGTGAAAGGCTCAAATGTTTGATGGTAAGAGTTAAAGGATTTAAACAGATGACTAATAGAACAGGAAAAGATGCTCAACATTGCTAATTATTAGAGAAAAGTAAATCAAAGCTACAGCCAGTACCTCCCATTGGTTAGAATGGCCATCATTAAAAAAATCTACAAACAATATATGCTGGAGAAGGCATGAAGAAAAGGGAACCCTTCTACAAACTGTGGGAATGTAAACTGATATAGCCACTATGGAGAACAATGTGGAGGTTCCTCAAAAATCTAAAAACAACTACTATATGACCTAGTAATCCTACTCCTGGGCAGAAAAGATGAAAACTCTAATCTGAAAAGGTACATGGAGCCCTATGTTCATAGCAGCACTATTTACAATAATCAAGACATGGAAGCAACTTAAATATCCAAAATGTTCAATAGATGAATGTATAAAGAAAATGTGGCATGTGTGTACACATGTGTGTGTGTATACATACATATACACAATGGAATACTAGTCAGCCCTAAAAAGTGAAATCATGCCACCTGCAGCAACATGGATGGGCCTGGAGATGACCATACTAAGTGAAGTGAGTCAGACACAAAAAGACAAATATATGGAATCTAAAAAAAAAAAAAAAAGATACAAATGAATTTACTGACAAAACAGAAACAGACTCACAGAAAACAAACTAATGGTTAACAAAGGGGAAAGGGGAGGGGACTAAATTAGCAGTTTGGGATTAAAAGATACAAACTCCTATATATAACATAGATAAGCAAAGACCTACTGTATAGCATAAGGAGCTACATTCAGTATCATGTAATAACTTACAATGGAAAACAATCTGAAGAATATGTGTGTATATGTAACTGAATCACTTTGCCGTACACTTTAATAACAACACTGTGTATCAACTATACTTCGAGAAAGAAAAAAAAGTTAAAAGGATTTACGGACATCCCAACACAGAAACAATCCCATGGATGGAGGAGCCTGGTAGGCTGCAGTCCATGGGGTCGCTAAGCGTTAGACACGACTGAGCGACTTCACTTTCACCCATTGGAGAAGGAAATGGCAACCCACTCCTGTGTTCTTGCCTGGAGAATCCTAGGGACGGGGAAGCCTGGTAGGCTGCCGTCTTTGGGGCTGCTAAGAGTCGGCCACAACTGAAGTGACTTAGCAGCAGCAACACAGAAACAGCGCAGCCTTGTCCATGTATTACTGCTAAGTCACATGTACTTGCTGTACCTCACTTCCTGCGTAACAACAGTAGTAGACATTCAGAAAGGAGTGTTAAATTCATGAATCAATACATTCAATCCATACACAAAAATCTGTGAGGAAGCCATGTTACAAATAAGGAAAGCCATGTGTACACTGACACATGTCTGAGTCCTCAGCTGCTTCCCCCCACAACCTCCCCAGGAAGATTGGGACTCGGGACAGCTGAGGGTTCACAGAGACTGAGATAGTGCCTCCAGTTACACAGAGCCACGATACTCAGTGGGATCACAATGAAGCCAACTGGCTTAAAATCCTAAATTCATGCTGTTCATTCCTATTGTACCCAACATCTAGCAGTTTTAACTTTTTCTCTATTTTAAATAAAAAATTAGACATATACTAAAAGAATGTTACAATGTGAATGAGACTCTGTGAATACAGCCCTTACTGACTACAGAAGCCTGACCCTAACCCTTAGATGTTACTTTGCCAACAAAGGTCCACCTAATCAAAGCTATGGTTTTTCCAGTCGTCTTGTATGGATGTGAGAGCTAGACTATAAAGGGAGCTGAGTGTCGAAGAATTGATGCTTTTGAACTGTGGTGCTGCAAGTTTTGAACTCTGGACTGCAAGGAGATCCAACCAGTCCATCCTAAAGGAGATCAGTCCTGGGTGTTCATTGGAAGGTCTGATGCTGAAGCTGAAACTCCAATACTTTGGCCACCTCATGTGAAGAGCTGACTCATTTGAAAAGACCCTGACGCTGGGAGAGATTGAAGGCGGGAAGAGAAGGGGACGACAGAGGATGAGATGGTTGGATGGCACCACTGACTCGATGGACATGAGTCTGAGTAAACTCCGGGAGCTGGTGATGCACAGGGAGGCCTGCTGTGCTGCAGTTCATGGGGTCCCAAGGAGTTGCACACGACTGAGTGAGTGAACTGAACCGAAGCCTTAAAAGTGGCTGGATTCAACCTGCTCCTGCTTTGTTGGGTTTTCACACCTGAGCTGTGAGTGCTGAACTCTGGCCGTTCTCTCCCTTCTGGAGACAGTTGTCTGGTCTGAGGACTGAAATGATGGTGGGGCCCAGAGCCCAACTGCTTTCAGGAAGACTTCTTTGTAAGTTTGATAAACTCTTACATATGAAACCATCTGTGCCTAGTGTTAAATTTGAAAGACTACTTTCAATGACTATTTCACACTTTTTAATAGTAATAATATCCAATTTTTGTATTCGGGTCAGTTTTGATAAACTATTATCTTTCTAGGAATTTCCCATTTCATTCAGTTTTCTAGTTTATTGCAAGAAAATGCTCATAGAATTTTTATCGTTTTAATCTGGATGCCACCTATAATGCCCTCTCTTTTTACCCTGGAAATACTGTTTTTTCATTCTTTTTTTCCCTTAGCACTACCGGAGGCTGGTCTATTCTATTAGTCTTCCAATGAACCAACTTCTGGCATCACCTGTGCTCTACTGTGGGAGAAGGTCCCAGAGGCCCACCACATCCTCCCTGTCCTTGGGTTGTATGTTCCGCCCACTGTTTCCATGGAGGAACAGCACTGAGGGCACATGAACTCAGGGCTCTCCACAAACTATTAAGGTGCTGGGGGTGGTAGAGGTGGTGAGGGATACTTATCCTGCGGCGCCCAGACCAGGCCAGTCAGAAGCTCCCTGCTCATGAAACTTGCCTCCCCATCCAGGGTGGCTACCTCTTTCCTGGGTCTCCCTGCCCTCTGTGAACTAGGTCAGTCTCAGGTTCCACCCAGAGCTCCCCAGCTGGCTGGACCAATACCTCCTGGACTATTCTTTGTTGCCTGGTGTCTCAACAGCAGTACAGCTATCTGACATTTGGGCAGACCAGTCCCGTCCCAGCCCCCGCAAGCCCCACCGTATGCTGGCTGAAGAAACTAACTCAGTTTCCAACCAGCTGGGCAATCATGTTACCAAGGATCCCAGAACCCAGGTGTTTTGCAGTAAGAGGGCCACCTAACATCTAGCTTGTTATATATCCCCAGGTATTTGAAAACTTCAACTGTTTTACAAGATTTATAAATTATACAAAGTTTTATCAGACAAATCTCAACCCCTGTCCTAGTTATAAATACATAAATATACTTTTATTCCTCTTCTCCACCACTACGTAGTCTATACATACACAGACCTCACCTCCTCAGCTAATTCCAGTATTTCAGAACAGCACTCACAATATAACCTCATTTAGTGTTACTGACTGCTAAGTTAAAAGGGAACAATACAAATAAGTCTATTTTGACAGTTTTCTGAAAGAAATCTAGTAACATATACAATCAGACAACTTGACAAGAAGGAGAGATAAAGTAGCAAACCAGAAATCTCTGTAATTGTAAATGTGCTGAGCTATTCTAGAGGGAATCAGAAAATAGATTTAGTTTTCAACTCCATCCTGAGACCGTAACGGCAGAGAGGAGAGGAAGGTGAGGGGAGAGCTCTGCACACAGCCCTGAGAAAACTGCACACAGTCACACACACTCACCAGGACTCTCCTCTGCTCGGCTCACGCCGTCCAGAATTTCTTGGTCACCTTCTGCAGCTATATATGCCCACGTGTCAGTCTCATCTCTTGTATTTCTTCTTTCTTTAAGTAATGGCTTGTTTTCCTTGGTTTTGTGGTCTTCTGTGACTTTACAGTCTGGTGGTATTTCATCTCTTTTCCGATTATTCTCAGGAAAATCATTTTTTTCTTCTGGAGTTAATTTAAACAAATCAAATGCATTTCTGATTTCCTTAAATGCTACTGGAAAGAAATAAAATTGATAATGAGTCACTAATTTCTTTGTAATCAAAAGAAAATCTGGGTGTTTAAAAAAAAAAAAAAAAACACAGGTATTTTCTTAATTCTTACTAATATCTGCCTTGGTAGGAAAGCCTGATCAGGTTGACTATCACAGCCATGAAGCCTTTCCACTCATCTTTGTGTTGGCTGCTCCGTATTTAGAAAGGACAGCCAAAGTGAACAGCTCTTCTTCTGGGGGTCCGAACTATTCGCAGTTTTGACAAAGGCCACCACAGCTCATGAGCCTCAGAATAATCCTAGTCATGTCACCAACCACCCTTCTGCTGAGACACCACCTCCACCATGCCTGGAAGTGAGCTGGTACAAAAGTGACTTTTGGCGGAGACTGGAAGATGGAAGGGTGTCAGCACACTGACTGTGGCCCAGCAACACTGCACCTGATGCCTGCGAAAATCCACTCACTTTAAAGACAAACCAGAGAGAAGACTGGCAAAGCAGCAGATCTGCAATAATAACCCCCCCCCCCAAAAAGGGGTAGAACAGAACAGAGTGAACAACTATAAACTTTAGGTATATAGCAGACAAGTGTTTTGTTTTTTAAAATTCTGAATTCTTTTATGTTAAATAGGAACACCTTCTCAATAGTACTTTTAGGTGACATCTCTCATTTATCTTCCTCTGTAAGAACTGCATGGGCTTAAACAGTTTTAAACACCTGTAATAAACTACAGTTTGCTACGAGCAGAGGTATCCTGGTTAATGCACAACATGGTGTGACCAGAGGAAAAGCAAGCCTTATATGAGTGCAGTCCTAACCAACACAAATTAAACCTTTTCTTTTTCAATAAGAAAGCTAGTCCAAATAAAGCTCTCATTCTATAAAGATGTATCATTTCCAAATCACAGTGAAAGGAACCTGAGCAATTTACTAATTTTGTTTTCTGTGTGCCTTGAAGAAACCTCACCAAGTATATGACACAGCAAAACAACACATGCAGAATGTAATATCACAGTGGCAGCACTGAGGGTGCTTGTCCCAGACATATTTAAACTCTGAATATTCTGATTATTTACATAGAACACCAGTCCAATAGCAAAAATAGAGAATGGCAAGTGGAACATCTCATTCAATGTTCAGAAATAAAAGCATTAACCATTCTTTCCATTTTCCACAGTTAAGTCCCGAATTCTGAATAATTCTGAATATTTTCCAAGGTACTCTATGAAGAGGATGCTGAATCCATTGTAATACAGCATAATGCAACATAAAGACTCATGTTCACCGATTCTGACACACTCCCAAAATATACCCCCAAGTGCAGTTTTATTTCTGTCCTGGAGGCTGGGTGCCAAGGATCGGACAGAAGCACAGGTACATATAAGCTGCGAGGTTAGTCAACAGACTCTGAAAACTGAAAAACTGCAGACACAGTGAGGCTGGCAAAGGCCCAGCTATAGCACCTTTTGGACTCGGGGTGGAAGCAGGTAGGTTTTAGCAGCAGGGATACTGAAAACTGGACTCCAGGTGTGGCCTTCTGAACTTAAGGAACAGACTGAACATTCACAGTAAACATGTACCTGAAACTGACAGATACTCAGAGGAAGAAAGAGTTCCTAACTACTTCTAATCTTACAATATTTTGAATCTCCAGTCACTCTCTGAAGAGAGGCTTAGAGCTGCAGCATCACTATGAAGAAGCACAGTCTCTACATTACACTCACCTGCACACAAGCCATCAAAGCTGTTCCTTCCCAGATTCCATCAACCCTGCCACTTCCTGCCAGGTCTGAACTGAAGCTTAGAGCCCAAACTCAATTTTAGTATTACCTCAGTTACACAGTTTGTGGGAGAACACTCTCAAGAAATCATCCGTCTCTTAGAATCACTGCTTCCACAAGAACTTGTTTTCCAAGTACTTTTTGGTGTGTGAACTGAAATAACCAGTTTTATTCAAACACTGTAATGGTGAACGTTTTATAAAGTACTTGTTCTAGTACTAACATGCACTATAGATTCCTGAGTTATATTTTGATGTGATCAAAATGTATACTGTATTTATACAAATGACACAGAGCTAAACACAATAAATTGATTAAAGAAGTTTATCTTAGTATCTACTATAAGAGATACTTATTTACTTTTCTGTCAAAACTAATTTCCTGTCTCTTTAAAGATAACGTATTCCCACCAGAATCTGAAACACTGTAAATTGACTATATTTCAATTAAAAAATTAAAGTTAAAAAAAAAATGAAGATAACGTATTTCATCTCATACCCAAAAGGAAAAAGAACAAGGTGATCAGATGGGGGAGGAGTTAGTTATACTAGTAACATACATTATTATGTAATAAATGAAGATTACTGGTAAACAACACTAGCATAATGTTCTTAAGTCCCCAGTGAACAAATTTTCTACTCAATGACCTTGCAGGTTAGAAGAGAGTCTGTCTTCACAGTGAACTAGACTCGGTCTGAAAGACCAACATAAATGACAAATGCCACTATTCACTCACTCTTTAATGCCTTGGGCTCTTTTCGGCCTTTTTCTTCCTTGTCCAATTCTTGCCTTTTCTGGTATTTTTCTTTGGGTTCGCATTTTTTGGTCTCTCTCTCCTGAAAAAGACACATAAGACCCCAAACACAGACAGAGCTGGTACTGATACTGAAAACTGGGCAACAGGTTCCTGGCATTAGGCCCCCCTTCTGTGAACTGTGCACATGACCCCTGACGACTATGTCTTTGCTCACGTCAGCTGCTTCCTTGGTCAAGTTTACCCCCAACCTCAACAATTCATAAAATATCACATTTAAAACCCAACACCAAGTTTCCTTGAAGAATTTTTTATTGCTAATAATAAAATTCCAAAAAATTTCACCTACAGTCCTATTAACCAAACACAACTGTTTTTAATCCTCCATATTGTCCCTCGGATCTAATTTTACAGATAATTTTGTTGTTTAAAATTTATTTTTATTTACATTGTATAGATATTTTTACTTGACTGTGTTCGTATGTATGTATGGTTTTCTTCACTGTAACATTTTGTAAATTTCCATTTTTGTTATGCTGACCTCATAGTATTTCAATGGATATTTAACAGTCCTCAACTATTATGATACTTTCTTAACTTTTTCCCTCATGACTATACAGGCTAGCATAGCATTAGTTTAATAACAGAGCAGGATCCCATGGGGCCTTCCCAGGGCAGACCCCGCACGCCCCGCCCCGCCCCGCATATCCTTTGCTGCAGCTAACCACTCTGGAGAACCTGGGTAACAGTGTCTGGTGCACACTTCCTGTGTACTTTTACAGATGTGAAATCCCCCACCAAAGGGAAGGTGTTAACTGCTTGATGACCATGAAGACATGGCCCTCCCAGGCCTAATGGAGTCTAAGGATCAACATAACCCTGTGACACCACTGCTTAATCTCACCGTCAATGAACCAGAGAGTTGTGCACAACTGATCACAGGTCCTGCCACCCACCCCCCTCCACCTGGGCCTTTAAAAATGCTATGCTGAAACCCTCTGGAGGGTTGGGGTTTTCAAGCAGGAGCCACACCCATTCTCCTTGCACTGGGGCCTTTCCCATAAAGGCTGCCCTTTTCTTCGTCACAAGCTGGGGTGGGACGACTGGCTTCACTGTTCTCATGTGGGATCTTAGTTTCCAACCCACGCCCCCTGCAGTAGAAGATGGAAGTCTTAGCCACTGGACCACCAGGAGAGTTCACTGTGGCTCAGATGGTAAAGAATCACCTTGCAATGCAGGAGACCGGAGTTCGCTCACTGGGTCGGGAAGATTCCGTGGAGAAGGAAATGGCAACCCACCCCAGTAATCTTGCCTGGAGAAGTCCATGGACAGTGAGTGGAGGCTGGCAAGCTACAGTCCACGGGTCTCAAAGAGTCAGACACAACTGAGCACACACACACACCAGGGAAGTTCCAGAAGTGGTATATTCTTAAGACAACATGGGGAAAATATAAGTAGGATGTGAAAAGCTAATAGAATAAACTGACAAAGCGCTAAGCTTTAACTTCACAATGCTACATCGTATCTGAATTCCTCTAAAAACTCAGACTTGTTCACAAATTAGCCCCGAATTTTCCAGCTGCAGTAAGTCCAAAAGAAAAGTCTGGATTAGACTAAAAGAAAAGTTGAGGTGCTTTCAAAAGTGGGATCGTCAGCATTTATAGTTGCTTCCCACCAGTTGGACTAGTGGGAAGACTCAGGGCTTTCCTGGTAGCTCAGCTGATAAAGAATCTGCCTGCCTGCAATGCAGGAGACCTGGGTTTGATCCCGGGGTTGGGAAGATCCCCTGGAGGAGGGGATGGCAACCCACTCCAGTATTCTTACCTGGAGAATCTCCATGGACAGAGGAGAACAGCAGGCTACATACAACCCATGGGGTCGCAGAGAGTAGGACATGACTGAGCGACTAAGCACAGCACAGACAGACTAGTAGGGGAACAGTCTCTTTGGCATTTTAACTATTTTAAGCTGGTTACTGATAAGTAACAGCAGGCAAGGAAAAAAACTCTGAAAGCCAAGTCAGAGCCACCCTTTTGAGAGACATTTGCATCTCTGAGGGAAATCTCCTCTGGCAAGGGCGTCTCTAAGCCTCTAGGAGTTCTCAAGTGGCAGGCAAGGACTCAACAGTCTGTGCGGCAACCTTGCCCTTGTTTACAGTGCTTCTCCTCCCAGGACTGGTTCCCCACCTCAGCATCATCTTTTGTCTTTGGCTGAGGGTGATGTTTGAGGTGAAGGGCTTCACCCATTTTGGAGAGTTACTCAGTTTTCCTAGGTCTCTTTCATGTGTATGTGTTAGTAAACTTTAAATTTTCCCCATGTTAATCTGTTTCATGTCAGTTCAATTCTAGAGCAGTCAGGCAACCTAGAATCTAGGAGGGAGAAGAAAATCTCCCGATAAAGTATTAACTCCTTAAGGGTAGAAGAACTTCTCTTATAGGCACACATCAGAGATACTACAGGGTCGGCTTCAGATCCATGAAATAAAGCAAACATTGCAATAAAGTGAGTTATAATTTTTCTGTCTCCCAGTGCATATAAAAGTTATATTTACACTATAGAATTAAATGTGCAACAGCATTATGTCTAAAATAGCCATACCTACCTTAATTAGAAAAAAATATTGTATTGCTAAAAAATACTGGCTGTTGCCTGAACCTTCTTCAGCTTATTGCAAAAACAAAATCAAAGATCACTGATCACAAGAAGTACTGTAAGAAGTACAGTAATAATGAAAAAGTTTAGGGCTTCCCAGTGGTCCAGTGGTTGAGACTCCAGGGGCATGGGTTCCATCCCTGGTCAGGAAAGTTCCACACAGGGTGGCCAAAAAGCGAAACAAAAGTTCAAAATAATGCAAGAATTACCAAAATGTGGCAAGGAGACAGGAAGTGAGCAGATGCTACAGGAAGAACGGCTCAGATACAGGTTGCCACAAACCTTCAGTCTAATAAGAAACGCACTATCTGCTAAGTGAAAAGAAATGAGGATGGGCTGTGTTCCACTGTCTCCAAGTCTTTACTTAGAGCACCAGCCTGAGTGGAATGTCCCTGTGTTCTGTCAGACGCAAATGTTAGTCCTCAGTGGGATCCAACCACCCTCCACCAGGACCTGTATACTCACCTCTCCCGGGGAGTCGGTGGGCCTGGACATCTTTGGCGGTGTCACGGCAGAGGCAGGCACTGGCTTATCCAACTCTGTGCTGCTTTGGCCTTTGTCTTGATTCCTTTGCTTTTTCTGTGTAGTTTTCTTCTCTAAGAAGAGGTTCTTGTTTTCTAGCTTTTTGCTCTCTTTAAGTTCCTCTGTCCTTCTTGGTTTCTTTTTTTTCCTCCTTGCTTTGACCTCGTCCTCATCAGCACTTACACTGCCATCCTGCTGTATATCAGAAGCAGCATCTAGACTGGCTTCTTGCTCAGCTTTATCTTTAGCACCTCTAAACTTCTGCTTTTCCTCTCTGTTGTCAACCTGTAAATCTTCACAGTCCTCTTCCTGAAGGGGGGAATCACTAAGTACACCAGGTTCAGAGTCCACCTGAGATTCAACACATTTCTCTTTTTTTGTTTTTCTAATTTCTTTGGAATCGTCTCTTATTTTAGTCTTTAAATCTCTCATTTCACCCTTTTTAACTTTCTTTAACTCCTTAGTTTCTTTTATATCATCTTTTTTGGGCTTTTTGGATTCCTTTAATTCTTCTTTGGCTTCCAAAATTCTTTTCTTTGTCCTTATATCAAAACCCAAACTTTCAGAGGAGCTCTCCAGGTCTGGTTTGGGCTTGTCTTTCAGTTTCCCAGTCTTTGCTTTCTTCTTTTTCAGGTCGTCGGGGCTTTTCTCTTCCTTATGCCTTAGTTTTTTCTTTTTCTTCTTTGGAGAAGTATCTTCTTTAGTCTCACTCTGTTGATCACTATCAGAGTTTGCCTCAAATATGTCATTATTTAAGGACAGTCTCTATAAAGTATAAAAAAGATTTAAAAACTCATTAAGAACATAGTAATTTAAAAGGTTTTGAATACTCATACTAATGAAATCTGGTAGGAATTTTTTCCCTATAGTTTCTCAACTTCTTAAAATTATTTATGTAACTGAGGTTGTATAACTTACTTACACTGCTAACTTAAGAAATAGGTCTTGGGAAAAAAAAAAAGAAATAGGTCTTGGAGGTGACAATAAGCATCAATTTAAGGAAACATAAACACAGAGGGACAGAAATGACCAGTGCTGCTGTAGGTCCTAACAGTCATATGTATGGTGGGTTATATATAATTCCAACTTCAAAATTTCCAAAACACCAATAAGTAATTTGTAAAGATTTATTTATTTGATGACAAAATAACTCTTTAAGAATTACGTATCTGTCTAGATATAAAAACACTACGCAAAGCATTTTCAGGTCTATTTCCCCACATTCTCTTCTAAATGACTTAGGGAAGGACAAGAGGGAGAAAAAAGATGGGTGTATTTTTAAGTTTTCCCTGTGGTGCTTCAGCAAAGACCACCACCGAGTTTAATAAGGTAGTGGAATGTGGTGGCACTGGCAAAACTTTTTGACTCTTCCTATACCGCTTTATAAAAAAACAACTAGTGAAACAGGAGGGAGGGGGTAAAGCACAGTCTTTAAATGAATGACGTGGCCCAAGGTCAGGACATAAATGGTTAGAACTAACCAGGTCTGACAAATCTAGACAGTGTATTAAAAAGCAGACACATCACTTCGCTGACAAAGTTCTGTATACTCAAAGCTATGGTTTTTTCAGCAGTCATGTACAAATGCGAGTTGGACCATAAAGAACGCTGAGCGCTCAAGAATTGATACTTTTGAATTTTGGTGCTGGAGAAGACTCTTGAGAGTCCCTTGGACAGCAAGGAGATCAAACCAGTCAATCCTAAAGGAAATCAACACTGAATATCCACTAGAAGGACTGATGCTGAAACTGCAATACTTTGGCCATCTGATGCAAAGAGCTGACTAACTGGAAGACAGAGATACTGGGAAAGACAGGGCAAGAGAAGGGAGCAGCAGAGGATGAGATAGTTGGATGGCATCACTGCTCAATGACATGAGTTTGAGCAAACTCTGGGAGATAGTGAAGGACAGGGAAGCCTGGTGTGCTATAGTTCATGGGGCCAAAAGTCACACAGTGACTGAACAATGAATAACCAGGTCCAAGATGATGAAGACGACTTCCACTAGACCTTGAGCCTCAGTGTATGCTCACTGTAACACATCAGCAGGCTAAGTGACACACCCAGAGGCACCATGACAGTTCCAAGAAACTGAAAGTGTTAATGGCTCCATCATGTCTGACTCTTTCTGACCCCATGGACTGTAGTCAGCCAGGCTCCTCTGTCCATGGAATTTTACAGGCAAGAATACTGGAGCAGGTAGCCATTTCCTTCTCCAGGGGATCTTCCTTGCCCAGGGATTGAACCTGGGCCTCTCAGAGTTCAACCTGGCAAGTGTTGACAGTTCCAAGGTCGAGCATAAAAGGTCAGAAAGTGGCCCAATTTCTGGAAATCCCCACAGCTTCCCCAAAACAGCTGGAATACTCCTCCTACTTCTCAGCCTATGAAATTACCCACCTATAAAAACTGACAAGCCCATAGCCTGGGGCTGCTCTTGCCTTCTGAGATGGCCCTCACCCTGTGGACTGTTTCTAAGTGAATTCACTTCTTACCTATCACTTTGTGGCTCACTGAATTCTTTCTGTGACATCAAGTATTTGAGCTTCATTAAGTTCCAGGTATGATCAGGGATTTAAAAGACAGTGGGGGGGGGGGGGGGAGACAGTGGGTTCAAGTCCCAGCCTGAGGTACACAGTCTAACCTGGACAGCAAAACAACCCCCACCCCCCAGCCCATGCCACAGACAACATCTACAACAAAATTAAGTGTCCAAGTGTTTCAATGAACCCTAGAATATAAGCTGGTAGGAACAAACACTGCAGGCAGTAAAGAATCCACCTGCAAGGTAGGAGACCTGGGTTCGATCCCTGGGTTGGGAAGATCCCCTGGAGAAGGGAAAGGGTACCCACTCCAGTATTCTAGCCTGGAGAATTCCATGAACTGTATAGTCCATGACTGAGTGACTTTCGTTTTACTTTTCACTTTAGGAACAAACTAGTAATAGCAGTAAGACCCCTGTGGTACAAATATCCACACAAGAGCAAGCAAAGGTAGCAAGGAGAATGGAAGAAACCACTCAAAAGTCTAGCGGGTCACTGTGAGGGGAGCTGCTGAAAGGGCAGGAGCTCTGGGCACTGGACCGTGAAGGGACGGCCCAGGCTGAGCGTTCTCTAGAGTAATCAGCTGGTGCTCCCTGCCAGGTGTACCGGAAAAGGCCCCACCATGAGAAACTGCTGAGATCAGATTTCAAACAAAGAAGGTCAGAGAAAATAGAAAATAGAAGATTCAGATATAAGTGATGGTGGTGGCAGGCTACAGCCTCTAGGGTTGCAGAAGAGTTGAACGTGACTTAGTGACTAATCAACAACAATGATGGTGGCGGCAAGGTGAAACCAGAGCCCAAAAAAATCCGTCATAAGTCTGAGGTTATACTGTCTAATTCTTCATAAAATAAATAAAGCTTGCTCAGCAGTCATAAAGCTAAAAAATAGTATCTTGTTCTCCTCCTTTGCCTCCTAAAATTTCAAAAAAGTAATTCATATAAATATAAGCAATATAAATTGATTGCTCTAGAGCAGAGTATTTTACTGAATTGTTATAAGAGAAAGCAGACAAAGGAACAGAGTAATTAACCTAAAAAGAACAACAGCATGCAAGAGAGATACACCTACTGTTAAATACAAACAGGCCCCAAATGCAGTTGCTGATCCTAAGCCCATCAAGAGAAATAACTAACCACACTCAGAATTATAAACCAGCAGTCTAGAGTTTTCTGATCAGCAGTGGTGAAGTACCTGCCCTAATAGGACCCCCAGCCTCTCCGTGAGGCAAGGTGATCTGGTTTGAAATAGTCTCACAGTCTTTATTTTCTTGGACTCCAAAATCACTGCAGATGGTGACTGAAGTCATGAAATTAAAAGACACTTGCTCCTTGGAAGAAAAGCTGTGACAAACCTAGACAGCATATGAAAAAACAGAGACATTACTTTGCCGACAAAGGTCCATCTAGTCAAAGCTATGGTTTTTCCAGTAGTCGTGTATGGATGTGAGAGTTGGACCATAAAGAAAGCTGAGTGCCAAAGAATTGATGCATTTGAACTGTGGTGAGTCCCTTGGACTGCAGTCAATCCTAAAGGAAATCAAACCTCAATATTCACTGGAAGGACTGATGCTGAAACTAAAGCTTCAATACTTCGGCCACCTGGTGTCAAGAACTGACTCACTGGAAAAGACCCTGATGCTGGGAAAAACTGAAGGCAGGAGAAGAGAACGACAGAGGATGAGATGGTTGGATGGCATCACTGACTCAATGGACACTAGTTTCAGCAAGCTCCAGGAGTTGGTGATGGACAGGGAAGCCTGGTGTGCTGCAGTCCATGGGGTTGCAAAGAGTTAGACAGGACTGAGCGACTGAACTGAATCGTCTCCATCTGCCAATTACAACCTTCCCTTTCATGAGCTCCTGGGAGCATCCTTCTGTTTGTTAGATAGATGCCGTCTGATTCATGAACTGGATAAAGCCAATTAGAGCTTCAAATTTACTCAGCTGAATTTTGGTTTATACAAAACAATGAAAATAAAAAAATTTGAGGCATCAGGTGAAAAGACCAAGTCATTCATAAGAGAAAGAAACTCAGATTTGTCATTACAGAGCCGTATCTCAAACTGGGTGTGGAGGGAAAGGGAAGGATGTGAGAAAATAGGTACTAATTAACAACATCAATAACCTATTTATCAAATTGATAACCACAGAAAAGAAAAAAAAGAATTAATCCAAGTAATTTTTGAACAATCAACACCTGAACTGAATACACTGTAGGAACAAAAATAATTGTAAATAACTTTGGAATTTCACAGTAGAATGGGCATAGTAAATCTGAAACTAATTTCTAATTATTGCAGGGCTCAATAAATGACTACATATAATATTGATGAACACCAGAGTTCTCATGGAAGAAAAGGGAGACAGAACCACAGACACTGAAAATGACAGGAAGACAGAGTGGTGATGGACTGAAATTAGACATCAATATGAACTTGACTTAAAACTAACATGTATTTTTCCCTTTATTTCTGTCTAAAGGGCCTAGAAATAATGATATCCCAGTAGCAATAACTTCATCTTGGTTTCTAAATTCTGTTCTGCCCTAAAAAGAATCAAGATTCCCTGAATAAAGGTTGGTGCCAGAGTTGGAGCAGGAGGGTACATGGGGACACTTTGTCCAGGGAGCAAAGACGTGCCCAGACAGACAGGGAAACCACATGAGGACACAGGAGCTTACCTAGAGGGTGGTCCCACAAACCAAGGGTGGGCCTGTTTCAACAACAGCAATCAAATAAAAAGATTCCAAGAGTGTGTACTGGTACTTAAAAAATTTAAGGGGGAGGAGGAGCTGCTCTTTATAGGATACAAACTAAAAAGCTTACAAAAACAGAACTGGAAAAGTTATTATTTGCAACTACCACAGTAACAACTATTTAAAGCAAAATTCTTCAAAATTATCTTAAAATCATGGGTGAGAGGTTGTTGAAGAAGTGATTCTCAGTCTGAAATATTACTTATTATTAGGTTACTTACTATTTTACAGGGGAAAAGGTACCTTTAAAAGGAGAGAAAAAATTATAGACCTCACTTTATCACATAATTATAATTTAACACCAGCAATGAGATAACTGACGCAGGACCCATCTATCGATATCATGTACCTTACCGATAGAATATATGTGCCCAAATGTCTATGCTTCATCTACAAATCATCTAATTTCAATTTTAAAAATACTATTTGTGATTTAACATTAGTTAGCATCCATCTAATTCCAATATGAAGAAGCTTCTATAAAACAACTGGACTGGATTCTGAAAAGGAGGGGGGCTCTGTGGGGTATTAGATGAGAGGAAACCAAGAAGACAGTGACGGACCCCCCAGGACCATCAGGAAAGCTGCATAGTGTGGCCAGACACCGGCTCCACCTGTGACAAAAGCACTGCTGCCATGATGCTGCTGAGGTATCACGGGTCCTGACACAGAAGAGAGTCTCTGCTGCTTCAAACAAATACACACACAGAAACCAAAGGTGAAGCCTGCAACTCAATCAAGGCTCACCTGAAAGCTACCCCTCTGCTTTAAGCAAGTTCTGTAGGACACTTGTCTACAGAACTACTTGTCTGTAGGAGACCTTCTCAAATTTCCCTCAATCTTGAAGAGTTGACAGCTGACTTCCACCTCCTTGAAACAGTGGTGACGCCTCATTTCCAAACAGAA